TGTACATTTGAACTCGGCTTTGTTAAAAAAGAGACGTAATAACGGAATAAAGCCGTGGTAGCCTAATGACTTGACCAACCGCTTCTCAAGCAGAGGTCGTGAGTTCAAATCTCTGAGTTTCTTGGAATCTATGAGCTTTTCGGTGAAAAAAAACAACGTGATAAAACCTGCACGTCGAAGAAGGCTCATAACCCTCAGAACACGTGTAAAGTCTCCAACTTGCATTGGGTCAGCGTAGTGAACTACGAGACCTCCACGTATGATGGGTGGGTCAATGATGATAATGAATGATGGTTTGTTAAATTATTTTTTTTTGTCTTTATAAAAAAGAACCGACTTGAAAAGTTCGTAGAATTACAGATGTAATTCATTTGCCAAGATTTACCAAGTTTTATTGAAATCGGTTTCCGGAAAGTGCGCGAAACCGGATACATCCCCTAGTTTATATTTGCTTCAAATCAATACTGAGGTACCTCTTTCCAACAAAAAAGAATCATCATAATCAGTTCACAAATTAATACGAATTATCGTGTCACATCATCCATCGAGTATATAACCAGAAATAGAGCTGAAATAAGGGTCATACATTCCTGGTTACTCGTGTGAAATATCACTTATAAATATCAACTCTCGTTTGCACTAAAATATAGACAGCGCCAACAATTGACATGTATGTACGTCTCCGTATGTTCCAAAAATATCCTACATTTATTGTAATAAAGATAATATCTCTAACAACGGTGTGCTGTTTCATTCGGTGGTGTGGGGAAAAACAGGAAAACATCTAATTACAAAACAAACGGAATCAAATTTCATCGGTAATTAACCGTCACTTGTTATGACACCCGTCAATTGTTTCGAATTTGGGCTGGCCAATCGGAGCGCAGTTGTCACAGTATCGTATAGTCATATCACTGGCAGAATAGTTTTCGAACAAATTAAATGACATTTCGTCTCCATTTCTGGTTATGTACTTGATGCATACATAAAAAAAGATAGTCGAATTGAGAACCTCCTCCTTTTTTCAAGTCGGTTAACAATGACTGTTCATGATTTTAAAATTATGTATTTGGAAATACGACAATACTAAGTAAGCACAACAATTTATTCATCCTCAAACAACAGTCGAAGTAAACAAACACTTCCATTGTTAAATTCCAACATTTTTATTCCCAACAAATACACTGCGCTCAACTCGACTGTTTCAAGTTTCCTCGATTAAGCACGAAGCACAAAAGTTCGAAAACAAAACCAATTTTTTCCTTTTAACCTGCAAATTTAGCTTTCAAAATCCCTTGTTAAGATATTAAAGATAAGAAAAATCCTATTGAACTAGTTTCCAAAGATGATAAAGCACGTTTTAAGTGACAAGGACGAAATAACAAAACTGCTTAAACAAATTTTGCTTTGACATCTAATATAGAGGAATAAGAGATGCTGGTGATTGAAATTTGAAAACGAATCTTGAGTTAACGAAGTCTGAACCGGGACGATTTTATTTTAAAAGAACGTTATCAAGTGCTTTGTCTCTGCTTTTTGTCTCATTGGTGAAGTAATTAATTTTATTTTATTGAATTCTCATTATTTTTGCTATGACTAAAAAACTTACAGCTAGGTAACAAGAATAGAATGGTAAGTATGATACATGCCTGACAAATCAGTGCTTAGAGCTAATTAAAAGTTTCCACATATAATTATTTACAGTGAAAGAACAAGGAAGAAAGTGAGTTGACGACTTATAAAAAACATAATAAATATAATAACAAAATTAAATACGTGAATTAGTTACAATATCTACACACTTGGAAACATTTTTTTTATATATAACATCAAGAGATGGAACGAACACGCAATAAACAAACTTTTTTTTTTAAAGATTCAACCAATTCCAAAAACCACAAAAAGTCAGTAACACTAAAAAGTAAAAAATAACAAAATACAGAGTTAATACAGATTTAATCCAAACGACAACCACGCACGTAATACTTTAAATTAACTTTTGTCTTATTTCGTTTTGCAGACAGTTTTATAATTTTTTTTAATATTAATAATTTCTAATTAATCAATCTATCTACGTTTATGGTTTATTTATATAATTATAACTTGAAAAATCTTGTCCAAACCTATTTATTACCTATTGGTTTCATAAAATATAATTATTGGCATGTGCTACCTGCTGATCGGTTTGAAGTTTAACTTTAGCAATAAAAAAATTGTTATACTTAAATATGTATAATATTTAAGTATTTATGTTTGGAGTCGTCGCAATACAATAACATTTATTGATTTTGAACACACGCATTTACTACCCGGTTTGTTATTGGTGTGAAATTTAATTTAATTAGGATGTTTAGAAATTAGTTCTTTAAAATGACTGTTTGAAATTACTTTATATTTTTGTAGGTAAAAATAAACGTTATCTTTACCAATGTTTTATAATTTCTCCAGATTAAAAAGCTTAACGTTTTTTAGATGCAAAGCAGAGATTACGAAGTTTTTACAACAGCCGGGCATTATTTTACACCATCAGATTACCAAATGTTACAAAAAGGGTTAGCCTTTTTTTTGTATTACGTGTAGATACAATTGTAGAGCTGTAGCTATTGCAAATAATTTTCATAATACCTACTGTAGTGGCAACACTTGCTCTTGCTAAAGAAATCTGACCAGTTTGTAGTAACTAATTTCATATCATCATGTACTCTTTTATGGGGATTTTCCAATTTTTTATTTATATTTATAGCTACACTTAGGCTACTAACAGACTGACTGCATGTTTGCAGTTAATGCGTAAAGTCATAATCAAGTTTATGCAGACAAGACCATGACTGCACGAAGTTGATAATGACTTCACGTATTAACTGCATGCAGTCGATCTCGGCTGCACGAGGTAGGTTTCGACTGCATGCAGTTAATACGTGAAGTCGTTATCAACTTCATGCAGTCGAACTCTCGGAAAACGAATTCACGCATTAAGTGCATGCAGTCGAATGGCTACATGCAGCCGATATCGACTACATGACTGCATGCAGTCGAGGTCATGGTTGCATGAAGTTGATTACAACTTCACGCATTAACTGCCTTAATCTGTTAGCAGCCTAATAATATTCACAATCGATTGCGCGTGCCACTTTTGCAGTCACAATTAGTGAACTAAAAATTAGTTTTTTTATTACTAATATAAATAAATTTTTTTATTACATTACTAATTTTCATACAATATTTATAATCGCAGCTGAAGTACCACAGTTGCGTTACCGTGCAATTAACTAGAGGTCAAGTTTCAATTCAATGTTCCATAAGACGATAAACATACTGCACTTCAAGAAATTAACGCTCTGACTTCTGAACTATAGTTGTTGTTAATGTGTAGTTGTTGATTGTTTTTGTTACACACGATCGTGGATATCGTCACCGTTATTATGAATTTGAGAGGTAAATATTTTTTCACCTCACTATCTCGGAAAGGATTTCTTTCTCATTAGAAATCTGAGCGCAAAAGCGTTCTTTCTTTCTTACGCTAGCGACAGTGGTGTAGGTACCTAACTTTTTCTTTCGATGAAAAAACATAATGACACGTTCAATTACGCGATTTGTCGTACATTATTAATGTAATATAAATCCGTTTGTATATTTTATTCTTATTATTGTTGACATTAAATTGACAACGATAACTAATTTTGTTTATTAAATTAATTTAATTCATCGAAGAACGAAAATAATCTCGTTAATCACATAAATTGTACTTAACAAAGAAGAAGAAAACGTATGTGGTGTAAATTCAGAACGCACTCAAAATTAAACATATTATTTTCAAATTTTCTTTTAGTCACTTCAGTACTTTGGATTGGATTGTAATGTAATAAATTTAAAAGAAACAAAACATGAGCAAGTCTCAGGTCTGAAAAAAAAACTGATTTTGTTATAGCTCAACTGTTTTTCTTTCATCAACCATTTTCCTGGCTATAGTGAGGTGAAAAGTTATGTGTTTCGCTCGACAGCAAAGTTTGTTTGCGTTTCGTGTGTTGAAACCCTCACTACGCTCAGGGTACTAATTTTGAACTACTCGCTTCACTCGTAGTTCAATCTTAGGGACCCTCGCTGCTCAGGTTTCAATATAAGCACTCGCGTCAAACAACAACTTTGCAGCATTGCATAATAAATAACTATTGTTTCTACTAGCTGTTGTTGAACACAAGAATATTCTTGTACTATCTCAAAAAATGTTATACACCTAAAAACTGAATGGTAAGAAAATTTCAGACTTTTTTTTTGATGATAACACCTTTTCAAATGGAGTTATTATATTCTCTCTAGAGAAATCATCGATTAAAACACTGAAACAAACACCGCCGAAAGGAATAGAATAGAATTCATTTATTATAGTGCCCTAGCAAAGTAATTGTTAATTACAAATCAAAACTGAACAAAATACAATAGTTTTGGAATTTCAGAGGGAGGTGTTATTTACTCTATGTGTATTACTTCTTAAAACTTTAAGTATAATAATAATTATAATTTGCCAGACAACCACACTAATTCTACGGTCTGAAACTAGAAAATTCTCTGTAGTATGAAAGCAACAAAATTCACTCCTGGGCGCTACCCAGAAAACCAAATTAGAAAAATTCATTTCCAAATTGATTCTACCGGGAATCGATCCCAGGACTCGTCATTTAGCACCCACAATGCAAACATAATCTGGTAATTTCGGTCTTTTTGGGCATACTATCTCCATGGCCGAACGGTTACCACGCCCGTCTGCCACGCAGCGGTTTGATTCCCGGGCTGGGAGAAATGTTTGTCTGATCAACATTTATTTCTCTAATGAGGTTGGGTGTAATTTGTGGTTATCTATCTTGGTGTCCAAGGCACCCGCGACACAGGGTTTCCCTAGTGCGGGGTTATAAGTGTGTGCGTTATTATTTATTACTAAGAAAATTCTATTACTTATGCATATACCAAGCAAGAGTGAAACTAGTAGTACGTCGTACATTTTTTCATAATTTTCTTATGATTTCAACAATGAAAAAAATAACTTGGTTTTCTAAAGGAAACAACGAAAACTCACCAACAATATTAAGCTGGAAGGCCAAAGATATCTTCGGTTCAGTATTGACTTGACATTCGTAGATCCCCGCGTCTCTCTCTTGAGGGAACTTAATTTGAAGCGTCCAGTTCTCGGATTTGTCTGGTCGTATAACCTGGCAAAAGAGAGGAAAATTGCAAATGAAAAAATTGTCAAAAAATAGCTATCTTTTATAATACCATCGCCAATTTTTTATGGTCTATTTGTCATTCACTTCCCTCTTTCTGTCACACAAATGATCCGCTTGTATAGTACAATTTGCGGTCCGGATATCATTCGTGACAACAAAAGGAAAACCTTTGAAGTGGTTGACACGTATGCAAAGCAGACATCGTAAACCGGCTTCTAAACTGACATATTTCAAAAATGGCTAACGGCGAATAGAAATGTAGCGGTTATATTTTCGAATAAATACCCTACAGTCGTTAAAAGCAATATTAACTTTTTTTTTTGGTACTGGTAGTAAGTGACACGGCTATCCATAACAGTTGCATTGCCACTTAGAGCTTTAATTCGCAAAGATCTTAGGGGAACTGCCATTGCGCCTGTCATCCAGAGAAATAAATTGACAAGTCCCATGATAAAACTTTCATAGAATTCTCATAGATGGCGCTACGACTAAAAAGTCGTTGAAAAACCAAATACAAACACACGACAACAAGCACATAGAAAAACTCGTGAGGTCCGCTGGTTCGTTCCGTGGCTTAGTTAGTATAACGTCTGGCACGGTATGCTAGAAGACGTCGGTTCGAATCCGGCCGGATTGAAGGAATTTTTTTCTGACTATTCGATCTTTGCATTAATAATTATAACAAACTAATAGAGTAATTTCACAAAAATAATTGAATATCAATTCAATAAAAATTTCAAAGTCCCATGTGCCTGTAATTTCACCAGCACCCTTATTTTTCAGAACCGAAACATATTATGCTGACGTTACTGCTTGGCGGTACAAATAGGTAAGGTAGTAGTACTTGCCTGGTCAAACTCTTTCACAAGGAGCTCTAACGCTACTAACATAAAAATAAATAGAAACTTTCTAAAAATTCTTTATTTCAGGCATAGGCCCATATAAATTATTAGTAAGATTTTCACTTTAAGTAGGTTAAAGTAAATGTAATCATTAATAAATTTATGCTTGAATTACCTATCTTTTTATATACGATCATTTATGTTAAGATAATGTAATAATGCACTTAAAAACACTGCTTCTAACTATTACATTTTCAATTTTTTTTTAATAAATAATAGACACACGCATGGCCACAATCTCACCTGATGTTAAGCGACGATGTGACTGACAAAGTAAGGTACGTTTATGCCTAAAAAAATGCCTATTCACTTTAGCATTGAATAGCCCCAATTTGTACTTTTCGGGAAACACAGATACAGTACAGTATTCCATTCATTTGCCGTACACATCAGAAAGGAGGAAGCAAAGCGCTTAGTGTGAATGGGTGGTATATCAACGACATAAGGATGAAGCGTTCCGGACCTTCTAGTCGACAAAAGGAGGAACGGTGAGCGTAGAACCAAATTGAAAAGTTCCTGCGCATTACCTCATACATTTCGGGGAGTGCCGAAATATATCTGATAGAAAACTGACAAGCAAGCTTCTTTTCTGCGATGGTCGAGATTTTGTAGCTTCAATTCCACAAGAGAAATGTTGTTAATAAGTCTCTTTGCTTTTCACTCCACCGAGTCCAAGGCGGCTAACTGGTAATGGGCAGAGCCGTCCCAAAGGTGGTAGCAGTATTCCATACACGATCGAACTTGTGCTTTATACAGATTTAAAAGCTGTGCAGGTGTGAAGTACCGCCTGACCTTGTATAGTATGCCTAGTTTAGCAGCAGTTTTTGAAAAGCACTCGATGTATTCTCGTATATTTGTTTTTTCAAACAAACAAACAAAATGTAATAATCGCGAAAGCCTAACAATTCGAGAATAAACATTGCCAAAATTTATCAGCTTCTGCTTTACATTTCTCGTACCAGTAACAAAACCCAAAGAAATTATGATTTCTGACTTGTGACATTATTCAAACCGACGTGCAAAATATATTATGCGTGTGGGATCTAATCCTGCTTAACAGAATAAATGTCCTAAAGCCAGTTTTACTGTGTCAATCCACTACATGTGGCGTCTCAGCTACGATTGTGTTTTACGTTCTTGTTTCTGGCATCCTAATCTATTATTACAGGCAAAAACTGGTACCTTTGCGATAAAAATGCAATGTATGGGGCGCCACCAGACCAGTCGTGTCGACCTTTATTCATAAAATTTGGCATTTTGTCTCTCCCTAGTCTGTATATATATGAGTTGTGTATATTTGTACGAAATCACGAAGGTTTGTTCAAACGAGTTAAAGATAATTTAAACCGATATGTAAGGCACCAAAACAGGCTTGTTGTGGACTCTATACCCAGAACAGCATTATACGTGAAGAGTTGTTATGCAATGTGTGTCAAGGTCTATAATAGTTTGCCTGAAACTCTCAAGTCACAACCAATAAATAAATTTAAATACTCACTAAAGCTTTGGTTATAACAAAAAACATTTTATGATGTAAATGAAATATTTGATTAGGTTAGGTATATTTTTATGTAATGTGTACTGTATTGTGTATGGACATTTGATTCTTTGACATGGTTTTTATTATGATTTTATTTTATTTTATTGCTTCTTTTTTGACATTCTTTAGTCTTTAATGCACATTTAATTTGAAATATTGTATTGTATTATGATTTAAAAAACCATAATTCTATATTGTATGTCAGAAATGACTAAAAGTGTGAAATTACATTATATAACTTTTCCATCCATTGTACCACTTTTAAAACAATAAACGAATTTTGAAAAAAAATTATCGGACAGTTTAAAACAAGTAATCAGATATCTTGGTAAAATATATACAAGGACACTTTAGGGCGCGTTTATTCGACGACGAATTTCATCGCGCGCTCAGACCGCGTGGCCGCCGCACAGCGACCGCGTGTATCTAACTCATCATGGATAAATATGCTCTATTCCTTTAGCTTTTACGTTTTAACTTGAATGAGCGTTCCGTGCGCGCTGGCGAATCTGGCTTGTCTTTGGTCTGCGCGGCAGTCCGCGCTTGGACCACGCGGTTGTATTATTCCAAGGAATTTAAATGTTATTGCCTAGTAAATAGAATTCAGATTCACCATTAATGTACGTAAAGGTTGGCATCTGGAGGGTCGCCGCGCAAAAACAGTTCAATTATAATAAGAAAAAATTGTCTTCACTTGCTTTTGATCATTATAACATTTTAATAAAAAAAGCGACCTTAAAATCTTATCCGCTTTCGCTGTGTTCGTTACCGTGGTCTCCTCAAAGATAACATAAACTCATATGAAAGTCCTCGTCAAACCAAATCATATGAGCCCAAACATAAAGTAGCTGCTGCACACTATTGTACTAATGAGGAGTTTTTCTCATCTGTCTGCCATTTAACGATTCGCGAGTTTGTATGTTACTAATACTAATCATTCGAATGAGCAAATCATTCGCCTAAGTCGAATCCAAGCAGCAAGCACAATCATTCGACTCGAGCCGAATGATTATTATGTTGGAACTACTCGGAACCGTTCACCATGTCCATATCAAAATACCCCTGTCGCCGTGACATTTACGGTAGTTAACGTATGTCAGAGATATCTAAGCAGCATCGAATATATAATCAGAAATAGAGACGAAATAAGGGCCATATATTCCTGGTAACACATTAGCGATACAGCTCTTATAAATATCAACTCTCGTTTGCACTGAAATATAGACAGGCCAACAACTGACCTGTGTGTACGTCTCCGTATACACCAAAAAATATTCTATATTTATTGCAATAAAGATAATATCTCTAACAATGCCGTTCTGTTCTATTCGGTGGTGTGGCAAAAACAGCAAAACATCTAATTACAAAACAAACGGAATCTAATTTCTTCGGTAATTAAATATTAAATATGTAATTTTGCATTTTTCGTCCATTATAGCAAAGCTCAAGTTAACTGGTCGATTTGAAGTGAAACAGTTGACGACATCCATTGACGACACCCGTCAATTGTTTCGAACTCGGGCTAGCCAATCGGACACAGTAATGATGTTGCAGAATAGTGTGCAAACAAATTAAATGACATTTCGTCTCTATTTCTGGTTATATACTCGATGCTAAGCAGAAATACTCTATGGAATCTATGGATTAGTAATGAATTCAGATCATTTGAATACGAAAATTAGTTGATTACTAATTTGTCAGTCCAATGACAAGGAATAGTAAGTACTAATGTAGAAGTAGCAGTAGTTCGTTGTGAAAGAGTTCGTCCAGGGAAGTACTGCCACCTTACCTATTTCTGCATCCAAGCAGTAAAGTTAGCATTACTGTGTTCTGGTTTTGAAGGTTAAGGTTGCTAGGAAAATTACAGGCACATGGGACTTGTCAACTTATGTCTCAGGGTGTCGGGTGTAGTAGCAGTGCCCCTCAGATCTTTGCGATTTAAAGACTGAGTGGCACTGTAACTGTTTCCATCAGGCGCAGGAGTTGTTAGCCCCGTCACTAGTTATTATAAAAAAATAATAATAGTGAGTGGAATATCGAAAACATTCGCTGTGGCGCCTCGTTACTGCCATTTCTCACATTAGATCAGCTGTAGATCACAGTAACATTTTATTGCCATTGGAATTACATCTGCGTGCCAAATTTTATTGAAATTTAAAGTTGGTGAAGTTCAATGAACCTAGTTCAACCTCTAATTTACCACTATTAGAAGTAGATTATTTTCTTCAGGTCTAAATGGGACTTCTACTGAGGCAACCGTTTTCCAACAAAAGAGAATCATTGAAATCGATTCACAATAAAAAAGCAGTCGAATTACGAACCTACTTTTTTAAGTTGATTAATAAATGGCCAAAACATAACAAAACGCTTTATAACTAACACGCGTTAGATGTACTTACAAAGATGATCAAACGTGATATTTAATTCACATTTTTATACATAATTATATAAATATATAAATACAAAGCTACAACAAAGAAAAAACTAACAAGGAGACGCAATCGTTACTCTATTAAGTAAGCTCAAGTCAATTTGAAGCGAAACAGTTGACGACACCCATTGACGACACCCGTCAGATGTTTCGAACTCGGGCTGGCCAATCGGAGCGCAGTTGTCACAGTAATGACAAGGCAAAATAGTTTTCAAACAAATTAAATGACATTTCGTCTCTATTTCTGGTTATATACTCGATGGTTAATAGTAACTTGTAAATGTTATGGTAAAGAACAATGGCAAAATCATACTTAAAAGAGTTCGTTACTGTCTTCAAATGTCTTAATTATAAGTTTGAATAAAATAAATCCATTAGGTTTTTCAAATTATAATAGCAGCCTATCTAAGTCTGGAAACAAAATCATATTTAAAAGAAACTCTAATGACTAATTAGTATGTAACCGGATTGATATCTTCAATTGTCAGTTTCTTAACGTTGAGCGACATCTAGCCGCCAAAATAAATATCAGTATTTACGATGGATATGGTCTACATTAAGTGCACGTAATATCAAAGTACTAATTCGACCGATTTTTAATAAGCCAATATGAGATTAACTACTTCATTAAAAAAAATAAAGTGGATAATTTCTTCTCCAAAATGCCATGCGATAAAATGGTAAAACTGACAAAAAGTTCCCGAAATCAGAGATAGATGGCACGTTTCACAAAAAAATAATTTTTGTCCGAGTTACTAGTGCAACAGTCTGTGGTATGTATTAATTAACTCAGTTTTTTGTTATGGCTTAACTTATTGCCTTTTGACCATACCACTATAAAAAATAATTTCCTCTGAACTTTCGTCACGTCAAAAACCCACGACACCATTCAGCTTCTATTAACTCTGTTTAAGGCTTTTGTAGTTTATTTTGATATAATAATACACCGAATACATTTTATAGAATTACGTAATACATAACCTCCAAAACGTCAAACTGGAATATCTTTAATTCCTGACTTCTCAGAAGAATAAACCCAAAACAAAATTTGTTTACGAATTTCGTCTCTATATTTTCACATATTTTTTATAAGCAGACACATAGAAATTATGTCAACAAAAATTTATATGGAATTTTCCATTGTTCCTTAATAAATTAGTTACTAAAATTATAAAGCTCCTTATGAAAGAGTTCGCCCAGGGAAGTACTACGACCATTACATTTTTTGCCGCAAAGCAGTAATGTGAGTATTACTGTTTTCCGGTTTTAAAGGGTTAAATTATATGCATGTGGCACTTGTCAAATTAATATTTCAAGGTGACTCAGATCTTTGCAATTAATGCCGGGTTCACGAGTCACACTTGCGTTTTTCGCTTGCTTGCGTGACTCGATTTGCGCATACGCTAAGATCTGCCGCGTACGCGCAGGCAGGACGTTGGGTGAGTTTGATATCTAGCAAGCTTGATATTTCCACGTAAGCAACAGGGAACATTTGCGGAGGACAGCACTACTGGCCAATCACAGAGAAACAGCGTCCACTACAACCAAATCAAATATGCGCGCAAATCTCTCCGCAACGCAAAACGGAAGACTCGGGAACGCCTTTGCGTGGAAGGCAGATTTCTACGCCGTGTATCCAGCAAAGCAAGCAAGTGAAAAACGCAAGTGAGAGACTGGTGAATCCGGCATTAGAGCTTTGAGTTGCACTGCATTTGTCTTGGATAGGCGTGTCGCTCGCTTACCAGTACGACTTGTTCGTACTGTCACTTGATATTTAAAAAAATCTTTTTGAGAAGAAATATAAACACGTGAGCAATTTTGCACCCAGCGTGCAAACGAAACTGCAGATAAAAACTTGTGTTTAGTCTACACTAAACGCGTCTATACGCGACGCGGAATGGCGCTGTAAAGTGGGCTCTAACCCTAAGTACTCATAAACCTGTCACAGCTTCTAAAAAATGTTATGGAAAATAAATGTCTTACCTGAAATCTTTGATCAGACGTGTAAGTTAAAATCCCTGCTGTTAGAATGTGAAGATCCCTCTTCCGTATCCACGACACCTGTAACAAAAGAGTTCTTGTAATTAAAACCCCAAGTCTTTAATCTTGCAAATCGAATAAGTACTTTAAACTTTCAATACACGAAGACCCTTGGAAGTAAAACAAAATGTAGGCAAAATGTGAGACAATGAGTTACAACAAATGGACGAGAGCAATTTCTCACACCGTCTAAGAAATTCTTTCAACACCGCAAGGGAAATTCCATTATGAAGTTGTACACAACTTGAAGGACTCTTCGTACTTCGACCTACTATACTCCAGTACGTAATTATGTGAAAGTTAGAGTAATTTCAGGAAATGCGAATTGTTTATTTCAAAGGATGTATGAAATACTCCGTGTGCGTTAAGAACATTGTTGGTGATGACGTCACTATAAATGGCTGCTTGTGTATAGGTTATATTTAGAAATTATAGTGAATGAAAGGCGTGCTTGTGGTAGTTATTTTTATATTCGTTTACGGAACCACCGCTTATGACAAAACCGCTTCGGGTCTAATTCCGTATCTTTATATACGACGATGGCACACCGGGCGTGAGAATATGAATAAATACACGGAATTAGACCCGCCGCGGTCCCGACCCGATCCGCGCCCGACCCGCACCCGCTTTCCCTGTATTTCACGCTTAATTCTTAAGCATTCTGAGTTAGTCATAGGGAGGGAGTGGCGTAGCGGAAACGTGGTGGTCAACTCTTCAGGTATAAAAGATTTTCAGAAGCGACATTTGAGAACATAGAATATTGAACCGTCTCAATGGAACGATTTGGCAGCACTGCGCTCTGAATGGCGGTGATCTGTGAAGATCACAAGTTTGCAGAGCAGCGTAAAACTGGATTGGATGCTAAACGTGACGTGACAAAAGCCTGTTCACCCGCAGCCAGTAACTATAATTAGGATAGCGGTACTCACGTGCCTGCAATGTGCACGAGGACTCGCCGCGGAGATTGGCTACATTAGTCATCTTCGAGGGCATCAGCGCCAACCCAACTATGAAATTACAGACACATGGGACTTGTCAACTTATATCTCAGGGTGACGGGAGCAGTGGCAGTGACTCTAAGACCTTTACGATTTAAAGCTCTGAGTGGCACTGCAACTAGGTAAGCGTATTTATCACCAGGCGCACGACTTGTTCGTCCCATCACTGAGTATTATAAAAAAAAGGCACCCAAGGAGGAACAACGTTCACCCACTTCTGGGTTTGCATCCGGCTAACATAACCCGCCCAATCCCATTTGAGCTGTTTGGTTATTTTATATCCTGGGTTTTTTGAAATTTAATTTAAGTTTTACAGACTTTAAGTTATGTTACCTCCACTGTGCTTAACGACGAGAAATTTTTGACATAAATGCTTTTGTTATTATTTAAATAAATTCGTTTATAAAAGATAAATTTCAAACCCGTCAGACTTAACACGCATACCTTTCATCATATACAACATTATACAGGTACCTAATAAATAACAAAGCATTCTTATACCAAGTGAAAATAATATCGTTTCTTGTAAAACCATTGTGATAAAAAGCAAGAACTTTCATAAAAAGAGTGCCATTTCTGATATCTAAAAAGAAACTAAAATGTGGGTAGCATTAAAATAAATTGCATTGTTCCGGTTATCGACGATGTACTCGAACACTAAAACCAACTTAAAAATGCGGTTGAAGAAATCGGAAATTACAGTCATTGATTTCTATTATATAAGCTTAAACGACCATAAACTAAATTTGGAAAAGGAAACGTCACTCATTAAAATGTAATAGCTACTTGCGTTCAGAAATTGTTTGTCACTTCAGTTGCTTGTACGATAAGGACTTTTTCACAAAAATAGCAAACCAGTGACTGAAACTATTTAAGTCCTTAGTCTAGTAGGATATTGAATAACGAACTCCAAATTCATATGCTTCGTTTATATGAGTTGATTGGAGTAATTAGAATAATAAGTCAAATAAGACTAGACTTAATGTTGGTACAAGTAGAGCTTTATTATTACAAGTTTTATTAAGACATCTAATAACAAATTCCAAATATTAATGTAAGTTGATTGATGCACTAAAAAGTAGGTCAACTTTTAGAGAATTCAGAATTAATTTTCCTTTGAAATTGTTGTTCCGATGGAACAGCATACGAAAGTCACGTGGTCACAGTAAATACTCGTGTGCATGGAATACAATTAGCTCTATTTTAAATTTAGAACATTTAATACTATAAAAATGCATGATCTTAGTAGAAATAAAAGTATGCATTAAAACCGCTCAGCTCGTACATTTCAACGGTAAATATAAGATTGTAGAACTTTATTCGCTGAAGCGAAGAAGCCATTACTCTAGTTTCAACCTCATTGGAGTGCTATTACGATGTCTTCATGAGAATAGTGCGAAATGAATTCGTGATGAAATCTAGTGTTTTCGAAAAGCATTTTGCATGACGTCGTTATGGCATGGATATATGTACGTAGTACGAAGGTTGGCACCTTCATATCGGGATGACCACCATTGGAGCAATAACTCGTCCATCAGGCGGAGTGTACCACCACCGGTAGTGCAGTATTAAATATTAAAATTTGACTATTGACAAAGTATACAAGTCAACTCAGTAATTTTCAGGTAAGTTTTTTGTACTCAATTTTGGTGACAATTTCGTTTTATTTAAATATTTATAGAATATCATCATGAAGTATTATTTAATATTCGAGTATTGTAACCTGAAATATTCTTTAACAATTCACGATGATATATTCGAGTAATTAAATCATAAAAATTGTCACCAAAATTGAGTACAAAAAACTTAACTGAAAATTACTAAGTTGACTTTTATACTTCGTCAATAGTCAAATTTTAATATTTAACATTGTGTGAGAAATAAAAAAAAATAAAGTTAATAAAACAAAATATTATTTGAAAATACATAAAGAATGAACGCTACAGAACTGAACGTTATAACTTGGGCCTTTTCAATGCGAGATTGAATAGACATTATATAGGTGTGCATGATCCATCGTCGACCTTGTCGTTACTTTCAAAACAGCTGAGATAGAGGTCTAATGCGCACTTATTTTAACCATAAATTTTAATTTTAATGGAAAGACATAAAACTTTTGGTTTATGGGACAATGATATGCCGCCAGTAGCCATATGTCCGACAACATATTTTCTTATTTTGATGCTGCTATGAATGTGTTCAACTAAAATTTTAAATTCTCGTGAACGTCACGATTAAAAATTCACGTCTTAAATAATATGTTGAAAACAATACCATCACACAAAACTCCGACTTTTTGTAATTTAAACTTAATTCCAGAAACTTTAATGACCATTATCCCAAAAGTTGACTATTTTGTTTAATAAATCATTAAACACAACATGCAACACTTTACGTGATCTGATTACAAATTAAGTTTGTGGAACTATTCCTTTCCGAATGTTCGTTTTTTTTTTGCTCTCCTTTTATTTTAAGAGTTCGTTCTTATCGGTGTTGTGTCGTCCTTGTATCTCTGCACGCCTCCCTTTGGACCTCTTTGTCGTACCCCACATTCATCTTACTTTTATCTGGTCTATGTAACTCGGTCCTCGGTCTTCCTCTTCAACGCTTTCCTTCAATTTCCTTATAGGATGTGCTTTTTAAAAAAAATCTCGTGATGCCCATGATAACATAATATGTTTTGACGGCCTTTTTTCTTAAACAATGGGGAAATATTGTTAGATAAATGTATATATATCGAGTTCTTAGGTTTTCGCGGTTGTTACACGTAGGAAATGACATTATTTTTCTGATTCAAATGTATTCTAATTCAAATTATTGATTAATAATAAATTTAACTTAATAAAAATTCATAATGTTCAAATAGAATAACTTGTAAAACCTAATGTGGCGTAAATTGGAATGTTTCTTTGTAAAATTAAAAACCTTTGCAACTATAGTGCAAATAAAAATGGGATGGTTTGCAATAATATTATTTGAAAATACTTAAAGAATGAACGCTACAGAACTGAAGGTTAAACTGGTCGATGACTGGACCACCTCAGTCATGACCATGACCTGTAAAGGGCCCCAAACGTTGGTTTGTTTGAAGAAAACAAATATACGCGATTTAAATCCGAAAAATAGTTTTATTTTCTAAATGTCTATAGAGTTAAAATTCGAAAAAAATTTACTACACCGTGGTATGATGATAGTAAATGGGAATTAATTGTCTCTACCTACACCAGTGGGACACAGAGTATGTGTGTATCGGATCACCTATTCCAAACTAGAAAGATGATTAACAGAATATTATTTTTCCGGAAATATTTCGTTTCATTTTCATTTTTTTAGAATCCGTTACGACTTTTTTCATTATACCATTTAATATTTCACTATTTTTACACATTGACTAGTTTTTGTTTCAAGATTCTTATTTCCCTAAATTTCCGTCTGGTTAATGTATCGAATTTAACATATACTAATTACAAATTAATTTGAAGTTGTTATTTAAAAACTCCCATAATTATTTAAAATATATTCGTTCTTACTTAACCTACTTAAGAGGGAGCGCATTCAGGTTTGATTCTGCCTTTTGATTAGACTTTTGGATTTATTTGCTATGTCTATATAATTTTATCTAAAATGATATGATTTATGATATGATTTTGTCAGAATGAATATTCGGTAATAACTATACGGGAAACAAACAGGAGAATAAACATAAATTGACCAAAGAAACTTGAGCCAAAAAAACAAATTACGTAATAAATTATTCAATCAATTCATTTCAAGCAATATATAAAAGTGAAATATTTTCCCCTAATTTTAATTTATTTCTTTCAATTCTATTCGTAGAACCAAATGAGGGTTTAGGCGACTAAAAGGGTTTGTAGGACAATAACCTAACACTCAGTTAAGATTTTGGAACATTCCCACAACACTCCGTACAATCCCACCAACTTATACTTGCGGTCAGTGTAAGCCATTGAACATTTTTATGAACAAAATATTGTACTTTGCTTTTCAGTTATTTAATGTTTAGCACTATAGGCACGAGATGAAAAGATCCGGGGATTCGTTTCTCGGGAAGAAACTTTAGGAAACATGAAGTTTCTTAAATAGGTCTGGGTGTTCAGGGTTATTTACTGTCCTGGAGTGATTTTTGTTTGAGATGAGGTACCTAATTGAGGTAATTGTCTGGCACATTATTATTATTATGTTCTTTATTTTTAACCGACTTCAAAAAAGGGGGATGTTCTTGATTCTACTGTACGTTTTTTTTGTATGTATGTTACGCGATAACTCCGTGACTTGTGAACCGATTTTGATGATTCTTTTTTGTAGAAAAAAGGGTACGTCGGTAGTGATCTCATTTAAATTTGAATAATCCACCTCTAAGAGTGATAAACTAGGGGATGAATGACTTTTGAGGTCGGTTTTTTTAGTACTCTGTACTGATTATTCTCAGCCTATTGGCTAGTTTGAATTACACTTACGGACCGAAACCAAGTAAGTGCAGTATGGCATGTATCTATTTGGAGGGTGTGCAATAAGAGCTTACTTGGTCCTCTTCCATCTGCATCAATTTTCTGACAATGCGCCATGTATTTAAAATGACAACGTTTTGCTAGAGGATGATACTGTAGAAGCTTTCTTTACAACCTAATAATACTCCCATAGCTTGAAAGAAATTTGGATTTTTTTAATAGGAGAGGTTGTAGACCCTCATTTATGGCACAGGTTGTCAGGGTCAAGGATTCCGGTTCAATAACCTAATTATTATTATTATTACTTTGCGTTTTTAATACGCATTTAAAATTTATGTGCCCTGAATATTAATATCGAATGTTACTTATTAAATTTACATACAAAAAAACGATATTTGACACTAGTTCGTATTTTTTCCACCTGCATAAGTAAGTTGGTCTAACAAAGCCTTTATCCAGGTGAGCGCGTCGCCAGTCAGTATTGATTCATGATCTATTTTAGTGCCGCTGACGTACCGGAACCGGACGGGAGTGAATTTCACCAAGTGGTATATAAAGTTATAACTTTGTATTATTTGTATGTATAAAGTGTTATAACACTTGGTGAATAATTTTTATTTTTATTTTTTATGATTATATTTAATTTAACTCGTTTTGGGACAGTAACGGTGTTTATCGAAAATGAAATATCCCATTTCGCTAAATAGTATCCCAAAAGAGGAGTTTACCAGTAATTGACCAACTTTACTTATTTAACCAAGTAACTATTTAAGTACTAAATGTACTATCCAATAATTAACCAACTTTACTTACGTAACCAAGTAACTATTTAAGTATTGGACACTTGAGTAGTATCCAGTACTTAAATAATTGTACTTAAATAGTGCAATAGACAGTACTTAAGTATTTAATTCAATATAAAATCTTGTCAGTAGCAACTACATAGGGTCGAAATACAAAATTACGAATCAGCGCGATGCGAATTCGCAACACAGAAAACTGAGACGCGAATTACTGCGATGCGATTTCATGCGGCAAGGTATCTTACTGCCACGGTTCATGTAATCATTCCTTCGACGATCGTCAATCGTACTGAACCTTTTTTTAACCAGGTAGCGACATGGATCGTAAAAAGAGTGTTGCACTGCTGTTATTGATAAGAAAATATAGGAAAAACACACAAAGAAGATTAACGTCGCAAGAATGCGCAATGCGGAGTAATTCACAAATTCTTGCGATGCGTCATGCGAGCTCGTAGATTTTTGCGATGCGACGTCGCATCGCAGTTTTGTGTTTCGACCCTTAGAAAGCATTTGATAAACGCTATGTAAAGCTCGTAGTTGGTATTTTGAGATCCACGTAAGTAATAATTTTAACATTTTATGTAATACTTTTAATCTGGATCTTTTTAATACGAGTGTAATTCCGGCAATGAGAGCACTGAGTGAGCAGTTCTTTGACTGGCCTTTTTTTGTGAGTGGAGTGCTGTGGTTTTTTTTTGTGTTTTATATAATAAGTTAGATAAATTGTGCACCCAGATTCCTTATTATTTTTCTATTTGTGAGGATATTTACTTGGCTCTCAGTTGTTATTATTCTGATATTTATTTTTTTAAATCTTTTTAATTTTACGACTTTTGTTCCAGGGAACATGCTAGTCATATCATAACCGTATTCTAATTGTCACACAATTTACAGTAAAAATATGTTAAAAATTTATTATTACATTAAAAGTACTAAGTAAACTATGCTGATTTACCCGGTCACTCAAGATTTTCGTATATTTTGACAAGGGTTAAGAAAGAACCGCTTGAAGGAAGTTATATTGGAGAGGTATTATTTTAATACAAACATCGGTACTTGCTGGCCTTCGTTGGTACGTTCGGCCAATATATGATGGACGTCACCAATTTTATTACGATTTAGATTTTTTCTTATAATATCCAAATTTGTTCGACGGTTAATGTCCGGAACGTAGTCTAAACATTCTACATATGTTGGTATAATTGTGTATGATTAAATTGTGCAGGCTAGATGTTGATCTAGCCTGCACAATTTAGAATTAACAAACCAGGGTATGTGGTTTGGCTCACATTGTAATGTTCTATACCATATGTCCTTATCTATGGATCTTAGCTCAAAGAATCATTTCCAGCTGTCAGTATTTAGTATATTTAATTTTACAGTGAACGCCGTTACTGTCCATGAACGGACTAAATAAAGACATTTACTTGCACTTTCTTTTGTTTATTGTTGCATACTAATTATGCAAAACTACACCTTATTATTAATGCAGAGAAAAAATATTACAGTAATACTTACAGCTTTATCTCCAAGCTGTTCAACTCTGCAATGCAGAAAAGCGGTCTGGCCAACCACAGTGGTCACATTGCGAGGCACGTTGTACTCAAAGTACGGGAACGACCCCACACTATCTTCCCCGTAATGCGCTGTACCTGTTAACAAAAAATGTGTTTATATATTTTTGACTTTTGTGGTTATACACGTGTCAATCCGTGACAAAGGAGAGTGTGAATATTCGGAAATATAGAGAACATAAAAGGAAGTCATACCGCGGTAAGAAACCTGTAAACTAGTGACAAAAAAGTTATTGCTTAATGTCGATGTAGTATTTTTTTTACGATATGCAAAAGAACTAACAGACGGACAGTCAACTTAAGAGAAAGACCGCTGCCGCTTGTAGAAAGAGAAGATAATAACCACAATATAGCAATATGGGACGCTGACGGTTTGTCCATGATAAAGATGTAAATTTACAGTCTCACCAATTACCTGATCTCAAACTACGAGATTATACTATGAGTACTAGAGCAACGGAATTCACTCCAGGGCACTAAACAGAACACCCAGACGAGAACCAGTTTAGCCGCTCACGCGATGCGCTCCTCCTACCGCAAAATGGCGGCTATTTGGTTTCGCAAACTAGAAAAGCATTCAGTTTAAATACAAGTTTTTATAAATAAAAATTATTATTCTGCATTGCTAAATAAATACCCTGCGTACTACCAACAAAAACATCACAAATAAAATGCAGTATATAATACACCGCAAATCCTGCACTTATAAAGCACTAATGAAATTTTTGGTGTACTTGGATAAATATGATAATATTCCGTTTCAGTGGTTCTAACGTTTACCATGAAATTACTCCTTAAAGTATAATTTATAAGCATTTATATTCAAGGTAAACTTAAAAAACGCTACTTACGATATGTTTTCATTAAATAAACACCGAAATCACCAGCCCAAACAATAACACACACGATTGTTGTGACGTATTTTTGAAGTTGTTTATTTTTTTAAATGACAGACCCAGGTTTTAAAAACTTTATGGTTTGCTAGAGTAGTTACCGAAATAGCAATTAATATTAGTTCTTTTACCTGTTTTAACTTCGATATCCGATAAATCGGTATAAAACCATCACCGGCATCTCTAGGTGTGGTATGCGTCTACGGCTGCATGTATCGCGTGAGCGGTTAGGATAGGTTATTTCCCAAATTGGTGCTACCGAGAACCAAGTCTGGGATCTCCTCGTTCAACGCCCACAGAGGTCGCGAAATTGTTATCGATAAATATTGTTTTGCGGTTTAGTACATAAACATACATATATAAAATTCTCGCCCTTTTCCCATCGGGAGAGACTGAGATCACAGCCACCAGATGCTACAATCTTGATGTGTCGCGTCATCAATACGCATTCATGTTTTCATACACGCTCATCAGTTAAAAGTTATCTTGACTTTGTCTCAGAAGCCGAAGAATTCCTTGTGAAAGAGTTCGTCCAGTGAAGTACTGCCACCTTACCCATTTCTGCCGCCAAAGTTTTTTCTTCCGGTTTGAAGGATACGAGTTCGTCCCGTCACTTGTTATCATACAAAAATCGAAAGACTGAATCGATGAAATGACTTCTTAATTAGAACAAAAACCTTCAAAAACCATTCGTTTCCAAAGAAATCAACAATGATTAATAACAAACTAGTGGAGTAATTTAAAAAAAAAATGAATATCAATTCAATGAAAATGTAAATACAGTGGATAGCGACATGTCTAGCCAGGGCTGGTAGCTGTAAAGGTATCTAACTGGGTGACGAAATACTTTCATAGATTTCTCATAGACGGCGCTACGGCTAAAAAGTCGTTCAAAAACCAAATACAAAATACGACAATAAGCACAAAGAAAAATTCGCAAGTTCGCTGGTTCGTTCCGTGGTTTAGTTGGCATTATGCTAGAAGATGTCGGTTCGAATTCGGCTGGATCGAAGGATTTTTGTCTAAGTATTCGATCTTTGTACTAATAATTATAACACACTTGTGGAGTAATTTCACAAAAAAAAATTGAATTTGATAAAACAGTTGATTTATTAACAGATTATTCTGTGAATTGTTCAATAATCTGTTTAAAGCAACAATCTGAATCAAATTATATTTAGAAATAAACAGTCGGAGGCTATTCAATAAAAATTTAAAAGTCGAAGGCATATTTGTATAATTCATTTCTAAATTGTAATTTAGTTTTCTATTCATTTAGACTTGAAACGAATTAATTAATTTCTTGATTAATGATGAAGGTAAACAGAATCATGTTAAACATTGACGCGGGAAAACCAAAGCCTATGTTTACAAAACAACGGTAATCGTTTTATCAAATGCTCTTCCCAAATTAAACCCCATAAAATATATGGTAAAAACCTTTCCCGAGTTATTATCCCGAATATGCCGAATGAATAACCCGGCTAAAATAAAATTAAGCTAACTTTGACACAAGTTTGCAATTTCGCGTCTCGAAATGATATTCCGTTTGTAAAGGGACCAAATAGAATGGAAAATGGCGCGATTAGTGTAAACAAAGGTGGTTGATTAAGAAATTACACAGGGTCCGACATCTGGGGTCTAATGAGAGTCAGGTAAATATCCCTGTTTTGGGAGGGTAATGTTGGACCCGTTTTGCGAGGTTAGAAAAAATCCCACACTTCGTATTCATTTGGAGGTGCGAATTCTGTAACACATTTGTAATTTATTTTAAAAATAACATATACCTATCTTTATTTTGATTAGCAGTAGAGCTCCTTGTAATGTTCATTTAGGGAAGTACTGCCGTCAAACGGTAATGTGATCATAATTGTGTGCCGGTTTAGAAGGATAATTGTGCTGGTGAAATTACAGGCACACGGGACTTGTCAACTTATGTCTCAGGGTGACGACGGGCCCAGTGGTAGTGCCCGTCAAATTTATAATTTTACTGCCTCCGTAAATTCTCCGCCGCCATCTCACCCAAATTTGTCAAGTACATACTATGAAATAAATGATAGTTTTTTTACAATTCGTGGACTAACAATTGCAGAAATAAAAGTTGCATGAACAATCACTCATACTCGACCTATAATCGGCCATTTTCAATATATTATTTCTACTTACATCTTGCATCTCGTGAACAGAATAAATGGTACTACAATGTATTACTAAACATCAATGTTGCAAAACAGTTTTGTATCCTCCCAAGAGCAACACATAAACCAAATAGCTTGCAACATATTACTAAAACTCGGCTATCACAATTGTAATCTCTGCTCTAACTCAACACATAACAGTTTTAAAAACACCGCATCCATTAAGCCTGCTACCAACTTTCCAACATTAATTTTCAACCAGTAGTGAAGTTATGTAGAAGGACCCAGAGATAAAATAAATTGGGACTCAGTTTACTTTTAGGACATTCGAAAAATTTATATCCAATAAATTTGGTTCTTTTCGTAGAATCAATTAAATGAATTCCTACAAAAAGAACCTTTTAAAAATGAATAATTTCTTGATTCCCTAGACGGTCAATTAATATTTGCTTACGGCGATAAATGCCGAAAAAACCCAATACTTTACAAAGGATTTGTAACAAAATTCGTAAGGTGGCTGACTCGGTCTGTAGTCTGTAGCTCAGTTGGTAGAGCGATGACCCTAGCCATTGCTTGCTTTCAAATGAGTGTTTAACAAAGTGTCACAGAGAATCTCAGAGCCGTCTTTTGGTGTCAGAGATTAGAGCACGAAAGCGATGAGCTAAAAAAGTTAAATTAAGGGCCCCCGGGACACAACCCCTTTGCACCCTACACAACTGTCCAACCCTTACGGGGGCGTCATTTAACAAAATTGCCAGGTTTAAATCGCGTGGTTCACATCTCATTTACTCTGTTTTTACGATTCAGGCGGCGTTTTAAAAGAGTAAACGATATAACCTGATACAGGATGATTGTGTTCGCTGTTATGCTTGTTGTTGTTGGAGTATTATGGTATTATATTACAACATTTCATAATTCTTGAGGTGACAACAGCAAAAGTTTTCATTGTACAAGTAAATTTTAGAACAAACTGAAAAAAATAACGTAAAGATCTTTAGGTGCCATTTTCGCAAAACTATTATTAAGTTGGTTGAAATATTATTGTTTATCAGCATCCATTTAGTGCATTATACAACTGCAATAATTGGTGGCCCAGAGGTTAGTAGTATGCGAGCCTTATCAGGAGGTTCCTCTTTTCATTCCCTTTAGGACCTATTTAGAAACGAGCTTTTGCAATTTAGTTCAGGGCGTTGAGTGTAATACGCCGAAGGTAATTGCGTTAACTGGTAGCACAGGGTATTCACTAATTTGAGACTTGGTAAGTGTTATAATTGTCTAAAATTATTTTTAATAATATCGACGCTGGAAAGCAATCTTGCCGACTCTCAAAAAATTGTACTTTACTCTAAGGCTTTATGTATGGGCAAAATTTACAAACTTCATAACTTTAAGCTATTTAAAAAAATAATTTCTCACTCATTTGAAATAGTAGTGTGTTGATTGTAAAACATGATACATAATTTATCCAATAGCTTTGACAAAATTATTCTAAAATAGATATAACGTAGGTTTTATACTAATTCAGTAGAGCTCCCTGTGAAGAAGTTCGTCCAGGGTAATACTGCCACTTTACCTACTTCTGCCGCCAAGCAGTTAAGTAAGCATTACTGCGTTCCGGTTGGGAAGGCTAGGGTTGCTGGTGAAATTACAGGCACACGGGACTTGTCAACTTATGTATCAGGGTGACCGCCACAGTGGCAGTGCCCAGATCTTTGCGATTAAAGCTCTGAGTGGCACTGCAGCTGTTGTAGGCGTATCGCTTACCATCAGACGTACGACGTGTTCGTCCCGTTCGATCTCCAATCGTGTATGTTTGTTTTTTATCAAACTAGTTAGCCGCCACCGTGGGTCCTGTAAAGTGCAAGCTACATGTGGAAAAAACGTATGTCAATGTATTACTTAAAGAGAAACGATGGTTTGGTTGAAAAAACAAACTTACACGATTTTAAATATAGAAAAAATATTTTTATGATATTGTATTGGCGGTATTTTGGAGAAAGAATCTTTTACAGGGCGCATGTTTTACGTTTCCATTTCGAAACTTAAA